GAGGATGGTGGTGTAGTGTGAGGGAGAGGATGGTGGTGTAGTGTGGTCAGTGTGAGGGGAGGATGGTGGTGAAAGTGACAGTGTGAAAGGGAGAGGGATGGTGGTGTAGGGAGAGGGATGGTGGTGTAGTGTGAGGGGGATGGGATGTGGGGAGAGGATGGTGGTGTGAGTGTGAGGAGAGGATGAGGGGAGAGGGATGGTGGTGAGTGTGAGGAGAGGGGAATGTGAAAGGAGAGGATGGTGGTGTGGTGTAGGGGAGAGGGATGGTGGTGTGAGGAGAGTGATGGTGAGGATGGTGGTGTGTAGTGTGAGGGGGAGAGGGATGGGTGGGGTGAGTGTGAGGGAGGATGGATGGTGGGGTAGTGTGAGGGGAGAGGATGTGGTGTAGTGTGAGGAGAGGAGGGATGGTGAGACCTGGTGAGGGGGAGGGAGGATGGAGAGTGAAGATTGTGGTGTGAGGTGAGGAGAGGATGGTAGGTGTGTGTGAGTGTGGGGAGAGGATGGTGGTGAAAGTGACAAAGGAATGTGGAAGGAGGATGGGAGAGGATGGTGGTGTGAGGGGGGAGGATGGTGGTGTAGTGTGAGGGAGGAGGATGATGTGGGGGGAGTGGTGCCAGTGTGAGGGGAGAGGATGGTGAATTGTAGTGTGAGGGAGAGGATGGTGGGGTAGTGGTGGAGAGGATGTGTGGGGGTGAGGGATGGTGAAAGGAGTGTGAGGGAGGATGGTGGTGCAGTGTGAGGATGGTGGTGTAGTGTGAGGGGAGAGGATGGTGGTGTGGTGTGAGGGAGAGGATGGTGGTGTAGTGTGGGAGGAGGTGGATGGTGGGGTGAGTGTGAGGGAGGGGATGAGGGGTGATGGTGTGGGGAGAGGGATGGTGGTGTAGTGTGAGGGAGAGGGATGGTGGTGTGGTGTGAGGGGGAGAGAGTGGGGTGGTGTGTGTGGGGAGGAGAGGATGGTGTGGGTGGTGGGGTAGTGTGAGGAGAGGATGGTGGGGTAGTGTGAGGGAGAGGGATGGTGGTGTGGTGTGAGGGAGAGGATGGTGGTGTGGTGTGAGGAGGATGGTGGTGTGGTGTGGGGAGAGGATGGTGGTGTAGTGTGGGGGAGAGGATGGTGGGGTGGTAGTGTGAGGGAGAGGATGGTGGGTGTAGTGTGAGGGAGGTGGTGTAGGATGGTGGGGTGTGGTGGAGGGAGAGGATGGTGGGGGTGTAGTGTGAGAGGATGGTGGTGTAGTGTGAGGAGAGGGATGGTGTAGGTGTATTGTGGAGGGGGGAGAGGGATGGTGGTGTGGTGTGAGGGAGGAGAGGTGATGGTGGGGTGCTTGTAGTGTGAGGGAGAGGGATGGTGCTGGTGAGTGTGTGAGGGAGGAGAGGATGGTGGTGTAGTGTGAGGGGAGAGGGATGGTGGTGGTGTGGTGTGAGGGAGAGGATGGTGGTGTAGTGTGGGGAGGGGGATGGTGGTGTAGTGTGGGGAGGGATGGTGGTGTAGTGTGGGGGAGAGGATGGTGGTGTAGTGTGAGGGAGAGGATGGTGGTGTGTGTGTGAGGAGGATGGTGGTGTAGTGTGGGGAGAGGATGGGGTGGGGTGGTGTGAGGGAGAGGATGGGTGGTGTGAGTGTGGAGGGGGATGGTGGTGTAGGGGTGGGGGAGGGATGGTGGTGTGTGTGTGGTGGTGTGGTGGGGAGAGAGGGATGGTGGGGGGTGGGGGGGGAGAGGATGGTGGTGTGGAGAGGAGAGGGATGGTGGTGTGAGTGTGGGGAGAGGATGGTGGTGTGAGTGTGATGTGGTGCTGCGGAGTGTGAGGGGGAGAGGGATGGTGGTGTGGTGTGGGGGAGTGAGAAAGGTGGTGTGGTGCAGAAGGAGAGGATGGTGGTAGTGTGAGGAGAGGGATGGTGGTGTGTGGTGTGGGGAGAGGATGGTGGTGTGAGTGTGGGGAGAGGGATGGTGGTGTGAGTGTGAGGAGAGGATGGTGGTGTAGTGTGAGGGAGAGGATGGTGGTGTAGTGTGAGGGAGAGGATGGTGGTGTAGTGTGAGGGAGAGGATGGTGGTGTAGTGTGAGGGAGAGGATGGTGGTGTAGTGTGAGGGAGAGGACGGTGGTAAAAGTGAGAAAGGAATGTGAAGGAGAGGATGGTGGTGTAGTGTGAGGGAGGTAGAGTGAGGACAGTGTGATGGTGCAAGTGACTGATGCTATACAACAAGCTGGTGGGGATAACGACACACGTACGCATGCACACATACAAACACACAAAAGCATGCACATCTGTGCTAAACACTTTTGAGTTCCCAAGTTTCCCCCAAAAATATATATTCATATTTTACAAGAATGTTCCATTGATGCTGAAATTCTTAAACTTTTCCCACTATTTACCCCGTAGACTTGACACAACCAGATATTTTCCCTCACCCCATGAGTTATTTACTCATCAACTGGCCAAAGAAATTTAGGGAAAATGAAAAGAGTACAGCATTTACTATCATATTGCAGGTTGTACCTCTCTAGTCCGGCATTCTGTGGTCCGGAACAATATTAGTTTGCCCATGGAGAAAATTAATTTGAGTCTGGTACTTTCGATGTTTGGATAAATTTGGCCTTATTTACCCTACTTTTTTGGCGAATTACTACCTGTAATAAAGCAACATCCTAATAAACCAAAGAAAATAACATAGATAAAGTTAAATAAAAACTAAAAACAACACAGAAAAGTTCTTATGTTCTACAACTTTAGCTAGAGTTGAACCTAATGGCTTGGCAACTTCGTCATCTGAGTAAAAACACACACAACAACATTGACTGTCTTTATGTTTTCAACTTTACCACCACTGGTGGGTAGAATTTTTTTTTTAAATTCAAAAACATTAATTAAAATATATATGAACAGTAAATAAGTGTTGCTTTCATATTCTTATGAAGAGTAATAACGATATGTTTTCACATGTGCGCACTTACATACGCGATCTCACTTTTTTTTTACCATTAATGGTTAGATACTTCCATTGTTCCATTTATTAACATTAAATAACATTACTTAAAACAACCATATTAATTTTACTACAGCTACAGCCAGGGTCTTATTTTCTTCAGTTTTATATGTAGAACCAGTCAGTCACTGGTTTTGTAAACAACGAAAACAATGCTGTCTTGTCTCCTCGTGTGTTTTAATATTCTTCGTATTATTAATGAATTGTATTGTTCATTTTGCACACATAAACATTAATTCAATCAAAAAGGCATTCAGTAATAAACAATAATGAATGTTTTGTACATAGAGAAATGATGCTGTTTACACAATTGTGCACGTCTGAACGTTGGCGGGCCGCTCAACCCTGTCAAAATTCGAGTTTCCGCCGTCGAAATTTTAAATTGTGCAGTGTTTTTTGCGTGTCCATATAAAAAAAGTTGAATTAAAAATTCGCAAAATTTGAGAACCTACTGTACAGCATTTAACCCTTCAATATGTCGTCAAAGAGACCACAAAGCAGTGAAAGTGGTGCTAGTGCTTCCAAGTGTATGCACAAGTCACTATCTATCCATGGTCCGGCACCGGTCAGGTCCCAAGGTTGCCGGACAAGAGAGGTACAACCTATACTGTGCAATAATAAATTGTGATCAAAGAGAGAAGAACATCTTCCACTCATGTCAATCAATATTACACACTTTTAAAACACCAAATATAGGATTACAATGGGAACATTGTTGGTGCTTCACCTCAATCAGTTTGTCTATTCAGGGAGTTGTTGACAATGCAATTCTCATGTTGTCGTCAGCTTTCAGGCAGTTCCTGGCCTTCATCTTCATCATTACCAGGCTGAGAACCCAATCTCACAGAGATATATAATGATGAAAAGAACAAGCACTTAATGCACGCTCAGTGAGTAGTGGGAATGAGTCTGTCAAGTTTCATCCAAATATTCACTCCCACTCTTTCAAATTAAATTTTTCAAACCAACAAAGTTCTGAAGGTCAATCAGCTCTTCTTTTGTCGAGTCATCATTCATCTCCGTAAGGTCAGGGATGAAGTCTCAATATTCAACTTTCTGTAAGAATCATGTCCACTGCAAAGTAGCCAGGAAAGTGATCTTTCCAAGTTTACAAATGTGAAGTGACAACTTCAGTGATCTTAGGTAACAGTCCAGGCTCTTCGCTGATGATTACATACAGGTTCTGAAAGTTTGCAAAGTTACCTTGGCAAAATCACTGCTCCTAAAAGTCCAGCTTGTTTCAGAATGCCTCCAAATTTACACCTGCCTCAAAAATGTTTACTGATTTAACCTGCATTTGCATGTTGAGTTGGTTGAGTAGTATCCTGAATAGGCAATGATCACTGAATCAATTATGATCCTCAAACATGAAGAAAAATTTCCATCTCAATACAGAGATCAAACATGCTGTTGAGAACAAGCTGAGAAAGCCACCTGACTTTAATATGTAACATGAGAATGGAATGTTCATGAGTCAATATGTAACATGAGAATGGAATGGAAGCTTTGAATAAGTAGTAACTCAATGTTGAGGCACAAATGAAATTGACAGCTTCAGTAACTTTATGTAAAACTGGCTGCAGATTTCCAGAAAGGGTCTTCACAGCCAATGCATGTTTATGAAAAATACATTAAGTTGGTGTCACATGGTGCACCCTTTGTTTTACAAGTGCCTGAAACTACAAATTTTTGGTCGCAATAATGCAATTTTGCCTGTGAAAGGCTTAAAAATTGCACTATTCTGCCACTTGAGGTAAATTTATCTCTGGTTAAGAACCATGGCATTAACGTAATGACATTCCTAAATAATGGCTCTAAATGAGGAAGTGGGTGTGCGTGTGTGGAGTATTTCTAGTCATTGTCTCGGCACTTTCCTATAAGTTTCTACATTTTTCTTGTACTATACCACTCCCCTACCATTTCTTGCTTCCTGTGATCCACCTCATGCATAAGTGGAAAAGGAACTACAGTGAAAGATAGATAGACAGAATTATTTTAAAGATACTGAATAATAAAAATCTCACCTTTTGGGCTTGAGGCTCCTCCTGCGTGTGATGATCCCTGAGCAACTGGCGGGGATGTGACTACAGTACCTGGGACAGTAGTCACTGTAGCTGGATCTGTTGCCCTACTTGAGTCTGAAACTGTTACTTGAGTCTTTACTAATGCCTGGGAGGCAGTAGTCGCCGCTGTTGGTTTAACTGGTAGGTCTTCCTGCAAGGATCTCGTAACTGGTGAAGAATTTTCTGGCCTGGAAAATTTTTGTCAAATATATATGAAATAAAGCTTTTATTTGGGATAAACTGGTCATTATCTAAAGGAAATATTAATACAGTACTGTAACGTATCACAAGTTACCGATCTGGAAGTACAGTGGGGTATGCTATAACGAATGGATTCTACTACGAATATTCCTATAACGAATGGTTTTACCTATAAAATTGAGAATGCTATAACGAACGAAACTCCTACAACGAATTTTTTTTTTTTTTTTTTACTAATTTACCGTTTTTTTATTACAAGTATTGATGATATTCTTTATTTCAGGGGTTTAGATGCATATTTATGCATTTTTTTTAAATTTTTACAATTTTACATTATATTTTTCAGTGTTAAGTGGTTGTATTTGGGGGCCTGGAACGGATTAATCCTATAACGAACAAGGTTCTAGAACCAATTAGATTCGTTATAGCATACCCCACTGTAATCAAACCAAAACTGTCTTTCTGGGTCATATATCCAATGAGGATAAACTAATATTCATACATTATTTCTTAAAAGGAAGCTTAATAAAATGTGACAAAAGATGATAAATTTCAAATTATAATTGATAATGCCAATGTAAGTCACCTTGGAGGGAGGAATGTTTGTGTAGTTGTGGGAGGTCTACGTGGACGCTTCAAGGGAGGAGGTTGGTGCAGCTCCCCACCAACCTCACCAGAACCCAGGTATGGCTCTGGCAGGTCCCCAACATATCCACAATAATGCTGTATGGCAAAAATTATAAAAATCAAGAAAATAAACTAAGTATTCAATAAATAAGTAAAACAAAACATGTATGTGATGACAAACAAATATAAAAATTAATCATCTGGACATATTGCAAGAAGAATTTTTTAATTTGCAGAGGCTTAAAGGAGAATGGATGGCCCACAACCACAGTGTGGCCCATAGCAGAACATTTATGAGGCTAGTATCATAAATGGGATGAGATAGGATTGATATATCTCCAATAACTTCTGGATATTTATGGGCCAGTTGGGTTTTTAGGGAATCAGTTTAGATAGATATGACAGCACGAAGACGAATTAGCCAAATCTACTGTAATTCTCTCTTTTTATTGCCATTCATTATGTTTCATACCATCCTTAATATGTCAGGAGATGTGTTCTTTCTCTCCTTTCCCCTGTTGTCTCTTGCAAAATTGGTTTCCTTCAATTAATTTTCCTTCCTCCAACAGAAAAAGAAATACTTTTGTGAACCCTACTTGACTTAACAGTAACATTACCATAGTATCTCCACGCTAACCTGGCCCATAAACCACACCCTTCTTCTATACTAATAGTTGATTGGTTCATAGAAAATTCAATATAAATACGTACTTATACACGCACAATCTGGGGGGAGGTAAAACGCTCAGGGGGAACCAATCAGCTATTTGTAGCTATAGACGAGGGGCGGGGCTTACAGGCCAGGTTAGCGAGGAAAGGGTATAGTCCTGTTTCCCTTAAAGTAACAATTAACTCTGGACAGTGAATGACTGTCCATTACCTAAATATTAAAAAAAAAATTCCTTCATTGAGCCAACATCTGTAATGCTAATCTTGTTCTCACATCTGTCCTTTCTTCAGAGTTGCTCTAGTTTTAATTTACCCATCCAAGGTTCTTAAAAGGATTTGAAGTAAAAGGCTTTCATATAAAAATAAAAAAGATTAGAAACAACTTGAAGACTGAAAGCCCAAAGTGGTGGGCAGAAGCACAGCAACTAAAAAAATAAAATATATCATAGAAAGTAAACATTAACTAATACTTATCTGGATGGCACTTAATTCTAGAATAGATAAAGAAACTGCCCATCACCAGTACATTTTGAGAACCTTGCCTGTGTTTCCCTTGATCATAAAACTGTGGTGGTGTCAGTTCTACTCTGTCTCTAACTACAGCATAAGTGAGAACACAGGACACTTATTGTAATGGGATTTCAGGATTGATGCCGACACAGATATATTAAGCTAGCAGGTTTTTCCATTTCATTTAGTCTGTTTACCTTCCTATGAATAGCTTTTGTCCTAATAATGATGTCTGAAGAAAATAAAGCAACAAAATATCTCAGTCATATATTAAAAATTACAATCCTAAATGAAATAAAGTAAAACAAGTATAGGTCATTCATACAATGATATGCTAACACTAATAAATTGTTGTCAGTAAGTGAGTGTGTCACACAGTGTGGCAGGAATAGCTAAAATTCATGTTTAAATACTCCATTAATCTTTTAATACAGTACATTGTTTTATCTCAATGCCTACCCTTGGGTCTGGAGGCTTAGCATGGATGTTATTATTATTGTTGTTTACAGCTGCCAAACCCTTGATCTGCAAAGCCTCAGCTGTCCGAATGAAACCCGGTAGCTGATCCTGCATCACATTTACCTACAATAAAAGAAGACAACTGTGTGGATCAATTAATCAATCAAAGAGCCAACCTCATGTCTGAGGGTTGGTAATTACAACTTTGCATAACATTTCAGGAAAACATAGAAAAACTTATGCTGTATCAGGTCACAGCAGGTTTTGTACTTTGTAATAATGCCAATGACTTTAACTTCTAGGTTGTCAGTTAATGTACTGTAATTTCTCAAGCCCTAATTATCCAAGTCAATTAGCTATCATATACCTTTAGTCTTGATCAATTGTGTGTATGATATCAGCAATATCAAAGTTTTAATTACTGGTTTAAATGAAAATGACAAGGTGAAAACCAAAATGATGGGTATATGATTTTCCAGATATAGCTGGAGAGAAATTTCCATAAAAATAATATCTGCTTTACTGCAACAAATATGTTTACATAAGTTTATTATCTCATACTCTACACAGGGGGAGGGGGGGGGTTATTTTGAACATTTGTTAGTTAAGGCTACCCTGTGCATAGGAGGTGGCTCATCTCGCAACAACTTGCTGGGAGTAGGTCCCTGCCTTCACAGAGCAAAACCACATAAAATGTGGTCTGAGGTACATGTTTGTGAGTACGGTACAAGAATCACAAACCCCAAGAACTACAGCCTACCACCTGCATGCCACGAAAGACTCAACCATATTGGTCAAAACTTAAAAACACCTTTTGAAACAATATGTGCGAAATAAAAATTGTCTTACTTTAATGATATAGCAATCATACACAAGCAAACCCCATTTCAATAATGCCAGATTTAAGTATTTTTGAAGATACAAATTTATTGCATCATTGGAAGATGCTGAGGTACTGACACAGGCATCTGGAATAGTCCCACACTGAACCTGGCCAGTTTACCTTAACCCTTAAGCCCCGGGTTAGGGTGCTGCTGGCAGTACCACCCCCCCCCACCCCACAGGGATAAATTGAGAAAAAAAAGCAACTTATGAATAATTCTGATTAATGAACTTGTTGACACCTTGTTGTAACATACAGAGATTAATGTCCAAAATGCATTCCTAAAACTGTGCACTAAAGAAGGTATTTATTGTAACATAATAACATGGCTTCAGAGGAGAATTAAGCCAAACAGCACCATTCCTCATCTATAAGCAATATACTGTATGAGGGCTTTATTAGGATATTAACTATAGCAAAAATAATGTTTTATATCAATTTATAAATAAAAACAAGACTGTAATTTCTAACAATAATGAAATAAGAAAATGGAATAAGTTACAGTACAGAACTTGTTGATGCATTCAGTTAGAGCAGCGTAAGACAGACTTCTTCATAATGACCGGTCATTGTGTCATGTCTTTCATTCACATGCCTAACCAACTCTCCATCTTCTCTATTAAAAAAATTCCTTGAATGAGTTAACTTGGTTGAAACTAATGAAGTGGTGGAATGCACAGCTCTTATCTTGTCCTTATTTTTCATAATTGTTCTATTCACAGATGTAGCCAAACCCAAGCTACAGCCAATATTAGCTGGAGATCACCAGCCTCCAAAAACCTAGTAATCTGCATTTTCACATCCAAACTGATCTTGACTGCTTGGCCACACTACCAACAGTAACACCTGCAGGCCTTTTCCAAGATATCATGGGTTAATTATGCTCACAAAATTATGCACAAATAAGGAGAAATAAAGTTACCACAGCACTGTAAACACAAGCATAAGAGAGCATTCAAACCTGGTGGAGAGAGGAACTGATTGGCTAAGTGTTGATCAGCACACACCATTCTCATTGGGAGTGTGTGCAGTTCAGTGAAAAGTTGAGAATGATGATATACTTGTTCTGGCATGGGAGTTTAAAACTGCTTGACAAATTATAACTGTGTTTTTAAGAATAAAACAAGAAAGAGCCAAACAATAATGCAGCACTAATCAAGGTATCTTTGGAATGTATAAATCCAATACAATGTACAGTTGGATCTCAAGTTTAGCAAGCTTTAGATTTGCGATTCATATGTTTCACTTCACCTTTAAAATTTCCAGCCTCTCAAGAATAGCAATTTTCATTACCAGCTTCATGAGTCATTGGAGAGTGGGCAGCACGCATTGTCACGGTCTTTTGTTATCCGTCGACCTGCCGAGTGTTTTGTTTACGGCAGTTAGTTTGAATGAGCGAGCGGTGCAGTGACCTTGGATTATACGGTATAACCCATTGTGCTTACGTTTCGCGAAATTCTTGTTTAATTATTAACGATTCTTGTGTATTAGCAATGAGTGAAGTGCATAATGTAAATGTCAGGAGTGGTTCTGGTGGTAATGATGGCCATGGAGAAGGTCAACAAGGAAAGCCCCAAGCCAAGCGTGACGACCGTAAGAGGGTCAAGAAGAGGAAATACACCCTTGAAATGAAACGAAAGATGCTCGAGATGATCAAAAGTGGAGCTCGTACCTGTGAAATCATGTGTAAGTTCAACTGCCCTGAATCAACCATACATTCCCTTAAAGAACCCTTAACTGCTTCTATGAATGTATTCTCAAGATTTTCTAGTAACAGGACGTTCTCCGATACTTCACAACGAAACCTACTGCTTGTTATCACAGAACATTACCTTCACAAGTGGGTGGAAAGAAGAATCCATGAGCAAGGCGACCTATCTGGGCCACAGATTTGGCATCAAGCACGTGTTTATTAGGCTGCAGTTGCACAGTAAAAACGCATTAACTCTCCACCACCGTTCAATGCTTCTGTTGGTTGGTTGGTTGCCTTTAAGTTTTCTCAGACACACACACACATCATCTCTATACTGTATCCCTTCACAGGAGCAGTAGTCAACAACAAACTCAGTGTACCAAACCACCCACCTGACCATTATAGATGAAGTCCATTATTGATTCCAGCTCCCAAAATCTCACATCCCGCAAGAAAATTATTGGGTGGTCGCTTGGATTTTCCTGAAATATACAGTACAGGTATAGCAAAAAAAAAAAGGTTACTGACAAAATATTTTTTAACAGTATTTATTTAAGGCCTCTTAAATGTTCTCAAGTTTCATTATAGAATTTCACATCTCTGAGTCTGAGACATCATTAACCTGAGTGTTTAAGAAAAAGGCAAACACTATTAAATCTATTGAATGCAAAACAAGGTACCATTATATCAAGGGTAGGTGAACCAAGGATACACCATTTAATTGTGTGTTGCTAAATCATAGAAACACCAGTAAATCGAGGGCTTGATACAGTAGTTTATGTGTTATGTCCATAGAAGTGTTGCAGCCCTCCCTACCCAATTTAGTGGTACAGTATAACTCCAAAACTATGGAGTATTGACACTATGATCATGGAGTCATTTATCCTTATTAATGTCTTAGGAGTACATCCCCAAATTATGAAACATATTTCTGAAACACCCTGCATGTATATATATATAACAATGGTGGTGGGTGGTCAGTTGACAAACTGCCTTCCTTTGCATTTCATGTAATCTTTATCAATTTTTAGGTATTTCCATGTGGAAGATTTTCTTTTGGGAGGCAGTGAGAATATCATGGTATTGTTTGTGGCCAAGTACAGCTCATTAGTGATGTGATAGAACATGGCCAATTATAAATGAGCTGCCCTGAGATGTGCAAATTGTACATTTTAAAATTATTTCATTATTTCAGTTATTATACATTTATTATTTATTTATTAAACATTATTGTCACACTGCTTGTTTATTTATTCACCAAGATGTACAGTATCTCAAAAAGTATATGTGTGAAACATTATGAAACCACAGATGATAGATATTGGGACAAGCATTTACTTTGGTATACTGTATAGTTTAACATAATTAATATGATGTTTGATTACCTAATATAGTAGGATCAGTATACCACAGAGCCATGCATATCAACCCCCTTGGGACATCACAAGTTGCATGTAGCATTTTGGAAATCATTGGACCCATCCTGGAAGATACTTTTTTGAGATACTGTACATCAAATTTGTATACAAAGAAATGCATAACATAAGGTCCTCAGATAAGAAAGGGTCAACCTGAATGCTATGATTCCACTGTACATGATCCACAAATATTCTTCTAGTATTACCTACTGTGAAAATTTTAGATCTAACTTTATTTAAAAACTTGAAACACAGAGACAAACTACCACACAAACATATTAGCTATGACAAAGAAAACTAGTTATCCTATACTGGTATCCCTTGCTATATCAACATTCAAGATAATAAAAATATGCTTGTATGAATTTCCTAAATTAACACCTCTTTTACATGTTATGAAAGCTTCGCCGCTTATACGAATTTGGGTCCTGGAAAAATTCAAATTGCGCTCCTGGGAGTCAGCTGGGGTGGCCATCTTGGAGAGATGTACAGAGACATAACCTCACTCACTGATCATAACAAATCCCCCTCCCTTCCGCATCTTTCCTTCCGCCATTCGTTGTGTGTATGTAAAGTGATCTATCTTTATCCATGTGTAGTCGTGTCACCCTTTTGTCATTGCATTCAAGTGTTCTGCTGAAACTTTGACTACCTGTACTAAACCAAAGAAAATACACAAGGCTGTAGCTCTTGAGATAGTAGTAATGAGGTGGACAGCCCTCTTCATCTCACTAAGAAAGGCCCTTATTTAGCCAACCCCACCCTCACCCCCTTGTGGTGAGCCCAGACCTTCCATGAGGAAATGTACCAAAGTTATACAGTACATGTATTTTATTAATGTTTTTAGTGTATTAGGTAGTAAATTACAGTAGCTGTGAACTTTTTATCATTAGTTAGGCAAGTTTCTTTGTTCTTCATGAACTAATTTCATGTTATGGAGGTTTGATACAGTATTTGGGTTTTCTTGTCATTAGGAAGCCAAACCCTATTTTTCCTATACAGTACTGTATATTCTTTTATTCACTACAAATTCACTCAACTAATGGTTTATCAGGAGCCTAAGTCATTTGTATAGTGAGAGATACCTGTACAAATACACTTATCTAACAAATGAAAAGACTGTGTTACAACAGGTGAAGTAAGTACTTATCCCTTACCTTTAGTAATTCCCTAAAGAAATTAGAGCAGGCAGATAACATTAACTTGTGTGCCTTTAGTCTCCGTCCATCGCAGGCCAATGTGACATCAACAAACTGTCCTTCCTCTAGTAAACTACGAAGCACCCCAACTACACTGCTCTGATAATTGTTCCATCGTAGACAAAAACACTGTTCACTCATGATGGAAGATAATAGCACCTGCAAGTATAAAAACACAATTATTACATATTCCTGGGTCATGTTATACAGTATGTAGCTTCTAGCATACAAAAACCAAATCAACATCAATAGGCATGGAACATAGTTATAATAATACTGTACTGTACCGGGTAATAATAATAGTAATAAAAAAGTCACTTTTATCCCCATTATGTAAAGAGCACTGAAATTAGGTATCCTTTTAAATTATTTCCCCAAAGTAACCTCTTTACTTCTAACTAAATTGGTATACAAACTTTTAAAATGATACACTGAAAACCAATTTCCTGTTCCTCCCTGGAAATGAGACTTGGACATACATACAGACAGATGGAAGGGTGAACACAACGAAAACCATTTTTAAAACCCTTTTCCAATTTCATGGAGCAATGGAAAATATAAAATCATGGCATTGTTGTTCTCTTAGTGATCTGATCACATTTCACTGACAAATACACTGTAAATATGATAAATACAAATGTGATACTGACCCTAACTTAACATATATAGTTCCCTAATGTTGCCCAGGTCCTCTAGATGGGGTATGACCTCAAAGATGCCATGGCCTCCAAAATGAGGAGTACATAACCCCTTGCAAGTCCCAGAAATACTTGAAAACAGTACTATGTGGTAAAATACCACCAACCTCAAAATACAGTACTGTACTGTACTGTATAGAAAATATCACACCTGAAATATTACCCAATCTGAATCTTCACCAAAATAAAACTGGAGAAACCTTGGATATCTACACATATACCGGTAGATAAAAAACTGAAGGCAAAGGTATGAAACCACCTCCATATGCACTCCCTAACTTGGGGAAAGAATCTGAATAGAAGTAGAGGAAGCTAAATCCTACCAGGCCAATATGAGGCTATCAGAGCAGTTAACCCACCTGAACTATTAGAACTCTAGTATGACCTGTAGCACAGATGTAATGGGAGGGATCATATCCCTCTCTCTTAAAAAAAACAAATAAATAAAATAAAAGACTGGCAATAACAATGTCCTGCACAGCAAAGAATAAGGATGATTCACCTAGAGTGCTACGATGATGACAAACTGGTAATTTTCAAAGTATATAAAATAAAACAAAATAAGTACAGTACAAGTATACTGTACTGTACCTGTACCATGCACAAGCCACAGCTGACACACTCGTGACCTTAAACTCAAACCTACTCTCACTCTCTCTCAGCTTTACTCAGTCTTCCCTTACCCATGTGTGTGTGTTTGTAACATTTTTTGCTAGTTTTAAGCCACTTTCTTAACAAGTACTTTTTATTCATCACTTTCCTTTTCTTTTTCCTCCATTTCATTGAGGCTTTTCTAAAACTCCTTGACCCACTCCACAACACACAAGTGGGAGAGGAGTGAAGACTGTAGACATATGGATATTGTATATAAATACTGTTACAAATTAATACCCAGCTTCAGCTCCTTCCTAAGGAAAAAGAAATGTTATTTAGACAGAGAGAAAGAGCTGCTGCCTATATTCTGCAGGGTTTCTACTGAACAATTTGGCAGAAAGAAGTTTTAAAGCGGTTGGGGTTCAACAGCTCTGTGGCTAACGTATTGTAAATCATTAAACAAACAGAGCAAATTACAGCAACTAATGACGTTGCTTAGAGATTAACTTATAGTATTGAGGTAATACAGTACAGTAGTTACTCATTTTATTATCAAATAAACGAGGCTTTTGTTCAAAAGAGTTGGGTACACTGATTTTTCAAACTGTAAATCTATTACATGTACTGTACCATCTCTTAAAAATTCATGTACAACTACTGTACAATACAAGTACCAGAAAATCTGAGAGATTAGTAAAAATTTGCAAATATATAAACATATACTATACAGTATTGCTAAGTGATGGATGCAGACTATTATGTCATATAAATGTAAGTAAATGTACTGTACTGCACTAATACTGGGAAGAGTGCCAGTAATTACAGTATACATATGATGAGTTGAACTATAATTCTTCCCATACTATCACATTTACTGAATGATTTTCTTAGAAATCATTAGGCACAGTGATATAAATCAGAAACAGTACACCTTGGGCTTGGGTGCATAATACAGTACACCTACAGCACAGTACAGTATTGGAATGAAAGGTAAATATACTGTAGCATGTTTTTGGAGGTACACTAATGAGGAAAGAAATGACTGACACAAATGTGACCCTGACCACTGACAGATTTGAATCTGTATTTGTGTAAAGTTTCATAAAAAGAGCTGTTCCAAATGAGGAAAAATTTTGGACAGCCAAAAGGATAAAAACAAAATAATGGTTGCCCCTCAATGCCCTCATGTAACGAGGATGGCCGGCCCTAGGGCCACCTAGGTGTGAATTTGTTGAAGGTGTAGAAGCTGTCGCCAACACAACAACCACACCCTAAGTTAACGAGTTGCATGACCCAATGTCAAGGAATAGTCCGAGAAGACCAGACAACTCGCCAACTGCGCTGTCTAACCATTACCCCGGAATACAATCTGCAAATCGATTAACTTCCAGGTCCCCAATTACTGCTGGGTAGACAGAGGCAAATGGCGCAAAGAAGCTTGTCCATAGTTTCACCCTGCCCGGGGATCGAACCCGGGTCGCTCGTTTGCGCGTCGAGCATGCCAATCATTACACCGATTTTCAGTGTAGCAATGTCTGTTTCTACAAAACAGGCATAGCTATTTTAATTAAGTACTGTGCTGTAATCGAGGCTCACAGAGGTGTTTGATGATTTGTTTAGTACTAAGTTGTAGTAATCTGAATCATGAATTGAAAAGCAAAGTTCAGTACAGTCGGCCCTTAACATATGCGGGGGTTACGTAACAGAGATACCCGTGAATGTTAAGAATCGGCGTATCTTTGATGCCCCCCCTCTAAGAACACCCCTGGCCCCCCATGTCCTTATTTACCATATATACCTGTGTGTAGTTCGAGTTTTTAAGACCAAATTTTTTGGCAAAAAATTGGGGGTCGACCTCTACACGGGTAATAGTTTCGTTAGGTTGAAAAATATTTACCAGTAACTACCAGTAAACAATGGAAACGACGCACCACCAGCTGTGAGTGTCGGTACAGTTGCCAGGGCAGATCTCTTGCGTCATCATAGCAAGCCCAAAGTAGCCAAATGCATAGTATGGTAGCACAGAACGATGTAAAACATAAAGTATTCATTTTTTAAAGTTTATTTATAGATACATAAATTTTTGTTCATTACATTTGAAACATCAATCTTTGCTAATTAAATTTGAAACAAAAGAACACTATGATACCGTATTTCTAAACACCGGGTATTTTCATTAAAATATTACATCACAAGTATATTTTACCTTAACTGTGACAGAATGAACATATTCTCAGAAATAAATATGGAAATGTAATATTTTTGCTGAAATGACGTACAGAGGAAAGTGGGATAAAATCATGACGAAAACAATGACTTTTGCTTTCTTTCGCTGTTCAAAAGATTTTACCGTAATTGCTTTTCGAATGGTTTTCAGTTAAAAATCTGTTGTATTACAATAATATTCTATCCTAATTCACTTGAATAAATACTACGATACCATATTTCTGAATATTTTCACTAAAATCCATCAAAATCATTTTCCTTGTCATCGTCTTCAGCACCAAACAGCTCCTCCCAGTCTTCTCCTTGAACAGGGCTAGACGGTACGTGTTTTTCAAATCGTTTTCAGTTAAAAAACTGTTACATCACATGTATATTTTACCTAACTGCGCCCGAATGAATATATTCTCAGAAATAAATAGTAGTTTTGCTGAAATGTGATGTATTTCAATGTAAAATAGGATAAAATACATGACGAAAACAAAAGACTTTACCTAACCTTCCGATGTTCAAGATATGTTACTCGTTTTTTTAATAGTTTTCGGTTAAAATACTGTTATATTACTGTACAATGATATTCTATTCATACTGTGCTTGATATAATACATTCACGGAAATGTAATATTTTTGCTGATATGACGTACGTATTACATCTATTTTGTTGGTGTCTTGAATATTTTTGCATTTTTACATTGAAATTATTGGTCATTCTGAAATATAGTTAACATATTGATAATATATAGTGCAGTGTTGATTTAAATCAAATAATCTTGAATTACACCGAGTGAACTTAAAATTTTATTGGTGAAATGACAGCATCAAGCATGGGTCCCCTGAAAGGTGATTTCTCCTCCATCCCCACTTCCTTCTCTTTTCCCTTCTCCTCCACCCCCACTTCTAATTCCCATTATCAACCAGGAACCTTCTATATACACACCTCAAAGTAAGTGTACTTTACTGCATTTTTTTTTTTTTACTTTGTATGTACTTTTCTGTGAGCTGGAACCAATTACCCAATATCCCATTGAAACAATGGATTCGGTTACGAACGACTCTGTGGAACGAATTGTGTTCGTTAACCGAGAGACCACTGTACGTACGTACGTACGTACGTACGTACGTACATACATACATACATACATACATACATACATACATACATACATACATACATACATACATACATACATACATACATACATACATACATACATACATACATACATACATACATACACATATACATACATACATACATACATACATACATACATACATACATACATACATACATACATACATACATACATACATACATACATACATACATACATACATACATACATACATACATACATACATACATACATACATACATACATACATACATATATATATATATATATATATATATATATATATATATATATATATATATATATATATATATATATATATATATATATATATATACAGGTTGTACCTCTCTAGTCCGGCAACCTCGGGACCTGACCGGTGCCGGACCATGGAAATTGCCGGACCATGGAAATTCACCCTTTTCCTGGATAGATAGTGACTTGTGCTTATGCCTGGAAGCACTAGCACCACTTTCTCTGCATCATGGTCTCTTTGAAGACATATTGA